CAATTTCATTCAGTTCTCTCAAGTCCAAGAGCTAAAAAGCTCTTCTTAACGCCTGTTTATAAACGCTTTCATCCTATCGACATGTACAACTTTCACGTCGTTCATGGTGACCCCTTTTACTCTGAAGTTAACATTGGAGACCCTAGCTTCCACACGGAAAGGCCCATAGACGTTGGAGTAACCTTCAGTCTTAGGAACAGCTAGCATTACCAGATCTCCTCTGTCGAAAGTTTTGGTATAAGGTGGCCTAGGATTCATAAGCCTTTTAGCAGAATTACCTGACATAAACTATCTGACAGTCTCCTTTGCTTTCCGCATCACCCTTAACGTCTCAGCCCAAGTAGGCTTTCTAAAACTATTAACAGACCCCGCGCTACACTCACAGTTTATTTTAAACTCAGTAGGTGGCAACTTTACAGCCTCGTTTTCAATGTGCCTCACTGATTTTCCCTCTAAGGAGCTTGAACCGATCGGTCTATGTGCACTGGCAATGCAGCTAAGGTCTACACAATCACGGTCTTCTGGTTTCAAGGAAATCATGTCGCAACGCTCCCGTACGGGAGGCAACGGGATATTCAATCTCCTTATATCGTTGATTCCCAGAATCCCGTTGTAGCCCTTATCTCCAAATAACATTAACCTTATCTCTCCCAACTCCCTGCCGTTTTCGTTAACAACTTTACAGGTTTTAACACGTGCAAGTGTCTGCTCGTGGCCTGTCACTGACACTATACGTAAAGTTTTAAGTGCATCGTCCCAATTCTCCTTCAAGACCTTGCACTTTTCAAAATCAATAATACTGACTTGGCTTCCTGTATCATATAACAGGTGCCACATATTGCCGTTAATATTCACCTTAACTATTGGCAGATTTTCATACTGATCTCCGCCATATGAACGTATGTTCACTATCTCGGCATTGTCATGAGTATTGCGGTTGGCAAACATAGAAGACTGTCTTGAGCAATCACTAGCTATATGTCCCAACCTACACTCAGGTAGCTGTGAAAGATCGGACATCTATTAATAAATGTATTGAGTTTTGGTTTTCTTTTCCACAGAAGCATCTATGATCATCCGTCACCCCGATTTTCGCCAGAAATTCTCCAAAATTACCATGATTTGTGATGAATTGTGAGTTATAAAAATTTGTACGAAAATAAAAAGGAATTCCAAATGGGAAAAATTTCAGGAATGTTTCATTAGTGTTCGCTATAGTTTAAGCCATTCTTGATTCTATGAAGTTGTGAATTATAGTTTGGGCATGCGGTCTAAATAAATTAATTTCTTCTTTTGATAGATTGGCCAATTCTTATTTTATTATCAACGATTCGTGTGATCTGTGAGAATAGGTTTTTTTGCCAAACTATGTATGCAATTTGAAATATATTTAAACAATTAAAAATGTTTCCGGAGATGTGTTTCTTTTTATTTAAACCTTCTCAAGCTTTCGGGCATCTCTGCCTTTCTACAGGAGAACATATATAATGAATAAAACCCCGCCTGATAGCCTTCACACAATGTGGAATCTACGTTTTATCTTAGTCTCTTAGTTTAACTTCAAAGTATGCAGGGTAGACCTACATTACGAAGTCAGAAATGGGTTTCCTGAAATCTTGCATTTTCACATCTTTTTTCACATTCGATAGTTTGCAGTTGTAGGGACGATATATGTAACAAAACATATTGGGATGGTTGACGTTCTCTCTCTGCTAATAGACTCCATATTTATTATATAGACCAGAGAGAATTAAAATTTACAGGTGGGGCTAGCAACGGCTATTAAAAATATATTATGATAAAATCACAGATATATATATATATAATATGTGTTAGATATAAAGTTTAATTAATTATTTATTTATTTTCACATTTTGCTTCCTTTATTAAAAAATTGATCTGGCGCAGCGCTGGCAACACACAACGCAGCTTCTTCATCGGCTGATTTTCAAGTAGAGTGAGACTCGGTACCACTGGATTAGAAACATGGCTAAAAGGGGATAAAATGTCTTCCATATATGAGTTGGCAACAGTACATCTCTAAAACAAGAGTTGGTAGAAAGAAAAGGTTTGCAGATTTGGAATCAGCATACCGAAAAAAAAAAGCCCTAGAACAACTGTATCTTTGCCGGCAACAGATAAAAAAAATATTTTTTGTTGCCCAGAGCAATTATATATTTTTGAGAGAACGAGACCATAATTTTAGATGCTATTTAATTTTGTTGTAAATATTTTCAATTAATTGACGATTATATAATACTAGAAGAATGACCCCCGGCTTCGCCTGAGAAATCCCCCGAGTGAAGTATCCTTCATACTGAAAGTACATCAATAATAAATAGTAGAAGTGCCATAGAATAGCAATACAGAAGAAACACATAAACTACAGGGAAAAAGTGTGTAATGGCAAAAAATGTATTATATTAGTGTTTAGGTATTTGATTCAATTATTTTTTGCAATCCATTTAGTTGTTTCAAAATTAATATAGTTTAAATAGACAGCAGCTTTTCCACCAAACTCACAATAACCTTTGAAATTGCCTTGAGTTGAGTGACTGACTGTAAAGAATCCTGACTGCGATGCCCATCTTCTCAGTAAGAATAATAAAAAAAAAAGGTTTATAAAAAAATGTAATCCAAAATACTGGCATGTAAATATTTTTCTGTAAAAAAATAAAAGAGCATATGGAAATATTAGGCAAATATATGTGTTCGCTAATGATTGCGACTGCATTTTAAACGATTTTTAAAAAGAGATTTAAACAAATAAAGGCCAGAACAAAAATTAATAAAAAATATGAAATCCATTATTTACATACATTCACAAAAGCAAACGATGACAGAATTGATGACTCTGATACTTGTATATTTTAATAATAATAATAATAATATAAATGAATTTTAAAAATTGTAAAAAAAATGCATCGGCCGGGAATCGAACCCAACAACCGCGTGGCAGGCGAGCATTCTACCACTGAACCACTGATGCTTAAAAGAAATGGCCATATTTGGATATTTATTCCATTCACAAAGGCAAACGATGGCAGAATTGATTGATGACTCTGATACTTGTATATTTTAATAATTAACTATAGATATAGGATTAATATTTTAAAATTACTATAAAACTGCGAAAATATTTTGTTATTTTACTCAAGAGAGTAATTAAAAATGAATTTGCTAATAATATAATTATATTTTCAATTTTTTAGTTTGTAAATATATCTTATTAATCAATAAACTCCGAACGAGGGAGAAATCCCTTAAAAACATTTAATCTTTTTTTCACATAAATCCATGTATACGCTTTTTTTACTATACCAATTAATAAATTAATCTGAATTTTGAGTCTAAAACCTGAATTGGAATCTTAGGACCATATCACAGTTAAAATACGAGATTAAAATACAAAGAATGTGTGTAAACTTCGATATCTAGAGAGAACAACCTTTGCAGCAAAGGTGAAAATGCCCAACTACCTATTTACTTGTCAAAGTCCAAAAATTAAATTGGAATTAGAATACCATACTACAGGCAAGATACAAGAAAAAAAAACAGAGGTAGAATAATTTAAAATCGTTGAAATATTCGAAATTAGGTCGGTATAAGAAAATAGAATCTTACATAGAAGGTGAAATATATTATTTCCTCTTCAATAACCAAAGTCCAAAAGCTAAAATGAATCGAAAGACTATACTACAGTCAAGGTTTGATATTAAAATCAAAACAAGCGCTGGAGTGTGTTAAAAACGTCGACAACATCGAAATTAGGTTAAAATAAGAAGAAGGAAAGAACCTTGCAAGGAAGGTGACAATACCCAATTACCTCTTCATTTGCATTCAATCCCACACCGATATTTGCCATCGTGCCCACTTAAGTGACTCCGCGTGACCGTTCCACTTGATTAAAATGATGCAAAGTCATTTGACTCAATAACATGGACTCTTGAAGGACAGTTTCTCACCTCTAATTGCTGATTTGAATAGAATTAACAAGGGAGAAAACACATTTACTTAACATTGACTGAACATTTATCAAGATAATGGGTGCATGAAATATTTTAGAGGTTTCAATTTTAGCATAAAAATTGATAGATAACTTTCCAACATTCCTGGTTGAGTCATAGTTCGTGAACAAAATCAGATTTTAAAATTTATATATATATATATAAATAAATAGTTGTTTAGTTTTATAGTTTAGTTTTGTATTAAAATTATCTTTATTATTTTGATTATTTAAATTCAAATTATATAATTTGTAAATTGTTATTATTTAGTAGAGAGAGAGAGAAAAAAAATCCTTTACTTCTTACACATCATCCAATTAATTATATATTTATAATTAATAACAATAAATTTATCAACGTAACCTCTTTTGCATCGCCTTTTACACGTCATTTAGACATACTCTAATTTTAACATGAATCATGAAAATTTCTCTTATAGAATTGTAAATAGTTATAAAACGAAGAGAAAATTTTTTTAAATATACATGGGCTACAAGCTTTCGGGCTTCACGCCCTTCGACGGGTACAACATATTGAGAGAAAATAACGCTATATATAGTATCGATATGTGAGGAATCTGCATACATAACCATATACGAGTTAACAATATCAGATTAAGTTATGGAAATAAGGCTTTTTTATAGAAATATTTGACGAAAGTAGGATGTGATGCTAATTAAAAATTAAAAAATGAAAACTAAAAAATTTTGACAGATTTAACATAACTAAGACTATTGCAATTTATAGAAGAACATATGATCATCTATGGATGTCAATCAACTTAAACCAATGTGATGTTATATTAAAAAAAAAAACCAACAACAGTAAGGAACTATGGCATGGCCCGCCATCAGCGCGATCATCGGACAAAGGAAAAAATTATAAAGGGGTAGGTGTCTGGGTGGGGGGGTTGTTTGTTTGCGGTGGGATTAACAGTAAGATCAGGGAAAGAAGTGAACGGCCTATAGGTTATTACAAATATCTAAATACTGCGATGGTATGTCGATGTGTCTGTTAATGCTATGGTTATTGATGGATAAAATAGCTTCAATGATCAACCTTTGGTACTTGGTATTGACATTAGAGTACAGGGTGGTAGGGGAGGAAAGGTTGAATGAATGGCCGGTGGTGTTAATATGGTTGAAAATGAGCGACCTGTTGTCTCTGTTGGCAATGCATCTACCGTGTTCGGTCATCCTGATGGCCACGGACCTACCAGTCTCGCCTATGTAAGATGCACTGCAATCGTTACAAGAGACTGAGTAGACCGAGCCACCAGAGGACCGAGCAACGGTAGATCTAGGTAATCTGGTGATAGGGTGTCTGAGGATGGCGCCGATACTATTGCTATTAGTAAAATGGGTGTTAATTCCGTGCGTTCTGAGGATGCGGGAGATGGCGACTAATTGGGTTGAGAAGGGAAGTAAACAACTGTTTCTGGTAATTGCAGGAGGTCTAACGGAAGAAGGGTCAAATTTATACTTATGTATGAAATGGGGGGGGGGGGTATTGGGACCGGGCCAACTGTTTAATGATTAGGGAAAATTCAATGGTTCTAAACAGTGGAAGGGAGCAGTGGGTGAACAATCTCTTGGTAAGAGTACGGACAGTATTTATTTTATGCGATAGGGGACATGAAGATTTGAAGTCTGTATAGAATGTGGGATTGTTAACCTTGTGGTATACGGTGGTGTGGTAATGAGAGGCAGTACGTATGACCAGTATATCAAGATACGGCAATACGGACCTGTTTTCCAATTCTAAGGTGAAAGAGATCTCGGGATGATAGGAGTTTAGAGAATCTAAAATATTGATTTCTTGTCCGGTATCACATATGCAGAAGATATCATCAATATATCTCCGCCACATGTGAATGCCCGGTGCAATTTGCTGTTGGACCCAGTGGTCTATGTTGGCCATGACTATTTCTGCAAGTGGGGAGGATAGTGGGCTTGCCCATGGGCGAGCCTCTGATTTGTTTGAACAACTGGTTGTTAAATGTGAAAGTAGTAAAGTCCAAACACAGGGAGGATAGTGCGACTATGGATTCTGCGGTACGGGGATCTACCGTCACCAATCTCATATCCCAATCCAATATGGTTGAACTCCTTGGTCTCCTCACCGCCGACATCAGACAGCAGGACAGCATCATTAAAGGGCGTCAATACAAGAAGCTATCCTTTTGGATCAGCAAATATGGCTTCCCAGAGGAATTTCACCCCGACAACCAACTGGTTCCCACTCTTCTCAATCTGTCATCTACATTGTTGTCTCCTTCGCAGACCGAGGTTCTTTCCTTAGGCCTCAAGTACCGTCCTCCCACAACGCCTGACATTCCCAGAATTATTTCTGGTGTTGAGCCCGCCATCAGCTCCCTTTCCCACACAGCCCAATATGACATACGGAGTTCCATAGCCCATATCCTCCGGAAACCCACCCCTTCTCAGTCCCAATCCCCTTCTCAGTCCCAATCTCTTGGTAAGTACCGCTCCCTGGCTACCATAAGGCGAAACCCTAACATTATAGTCACCAGATCGGATAAAGGTTCCCAGACCGTCGTCTTGGACACGGCTGACTATGCCTCCAAGATGACGGAGATACTCAGCGACCGCAATACATTTGTTCCCATTGCACAGTCTGATGCGTCTGCCTCAGCTAAATCTTTCAGATTGGGGTTATTGCGTTTGAAAAAATCGGGTCACATCACACCGGATCAATATAGTTCTTTCATCTCCGACCTTAATAATATCCCCTATATCTATGGTCTTCCTAAGACCCATAAGCCTGGCATCCCCCTACGCCCCATCATAGCCTACCATCTTTCACCTGCCTATAAGCTGTCCAAATATCTGACTGGCTTTCTCACACCTTGGGTGAAAGCCAGTCCACAATCCTCTGCCATTAGGGATATCCCTTCATTTGTGCAATCCGTTAACTCTCTCTGCCCTGTCCCCAACACCGTTATGGTGTCGTATGATGTAGTTGCCATGTATCTTTCCCTCCCCCATCAGCTTATTATTAGGCACTTGACTAATTTCTTACAGGATAACCAGGTAGATCCCGTACCGCAGAATCCATAGTCGCACTATCCTCCCTGTGTTTGGACTTTACTACTTTCACATTCAACAACCAGTTGTTCAAACAAATCAGAGGCTCGCCCATGGGCAGCCCACTATCCTCCCCACTTGCAGAAATAGTCATGGCCAACATAGACCACTGGGTCCAACAGCAAATTGCACCGGGCATTCACATGTGGCGGAGATATATTGATGATATCTTCTGCATATGTGATACCGGACAAGAAATCAATATTTTAGATTCTCTAAACTCCTATCATCCCGAGATCTCTTTCACCTTAGAATTGGAAAACAGGTCCGTATTGCCGTATCTTGATATACTGGTCATACGTACTGCCTCTCATTACCACACCACCGTATACCACAAGGTTAACAATCCCACATTCTATACAGACTTCAAATCTTCATGTCCCCTATCGCATAAAATAAATACTGTCCGTACTCTTACCAAGAGATTGTTCACCCACTGCTCCCTTCCACTGTTTAGAACCATTGAATTTTCCCTAATCGTTAAACAGTTGGCCCGGTCCCAATACCCCCCCCCCCCCCCCCCCCCATTTCATACATAAGTATAAATTTGACCCTTCTTCCGTTAGACCTCCTGCAATTACCAGAAACAGTTGTTTACTTCCCTTCTCCACCCAATCAGTCGCCATCTCCCGCATCCTCAGAACGCACGGAATTAACACCCATTTTACTAATAGCAATAGTATCGGCGCCATCCTCAGACACCCTATCACCAGATTACCTAGATCTACCGTTGCTCGGTCCTCCGGTGGCTCGGTCTACTCAGTCTCTTGTAACGATTGCAGTGCATCTTACATAGGCGAGACTGGTATGTCCGTGGCCATCAGGATGACCGAACACGGTAGATGCATTGCCAACAGAGACAACAGGTCGCTCAT